CATGTGTCTGTGTCAACCGGACTTGTCACTAAACAGCCGTCTGTGGCGATGGCACGCAAAAGAAATCACTGTAGCGATGATGGTGCAGTATTTACAGAATATTAAAAAATAAGGTTATTAGTGAGGATTATTCTGTATTGTTTGACTTTGACCATCATTATATGATCTGTCAAAGCATTCTTGTCAATTCCATTTTCTTCCAGAAAACGAGGAGACGGAAGGCAGCGAGGGCCATCCTGAGTATATGTTCGGCGATGCTGAGTTGGATGACGATGACCTCTATTCCATGGAGCACGACAACCAAACAGGTCAGTCACAGCGTCGCCTGCTCAGTAAGGGGTTGCCGATGTCAGCGCCTGCTATTTATAACAGTCTTCCTGCTCGGCGTCCTTTTGTCTCTTATCTGCGCCTCTATCGTTTCAACAGAGGAGCAGGAGTACACGCTGCCCCAGGAGGCCTTCCAGCTGCGCCACGAGATCGTGGATAACCCATCCGCTCCGGAGCACCTTCAGCAGGACAAGGCCGACTCCCCGCACGTCAGCGGCAACGAGGCCGAAGTCACCTGTTTGACACCCATCGAATCTTTCTCTCTCATCTCCATCTCCCAGCCGCTCTTCAGTCCACATCTGCCCGCCAGCTTCTTCTGCCCCATTGTGCGGGAGATGCTGAGTTACTACGCTGAGCAGGGCGATGTGCAGATGGCCGTGTCGGTGCTTATTGTTCTGGGGGATCGGATTCGCAAAGAGATCGATGACCTCACCCAGGTCAGTTAGTGAAACAAAAAACAACAACTCTGTTTTGTTAAATGTTAGAAACAAGTGAAATTTAGGCCTTTTATATGACTTTAAATTGTATTTGTAGCTTAAAAAACCTCCAAGGTTAGCGATACAGTGACAGCACGGATTGCAGTCTGAGCAGTTACTTTTATTTTTCCGTTTCAGGAGCACTGGTACATGTCCTACATAGACCTGCTGCAGCGATTCGAGTTGTGGAACGTGTCCAATGAGGTCATCAAACTGAGCACGTGCAGCGCCATCACTTGCCTGAACCAGACATCAACTACACTGCACATCAACTGCAGCAACTGCAAGCGACCAATGAGCAACAAGGGCTGGATTTGTGACAGGTATGAACACTGTGGCACCGTTTCATTAAGGTGTATGTGCTGAAATAGTTCTGGGATGGTGTTTTGGGTTCGTATGGTCAGGATTAATTGGACCTGTTCCCAGTGAGCACTGGACTCTGGCTGGTTACCGATTCAGTTCATCAATAGAATTTTTAGTTGCTGTCCACTTTGGTGCCTCCATCTCTGCTTTTTGCAGATGTGGTTCTTCTGGTTTTATCAGACGATGACCTCCAGCTCTCTTTGCAGAAAAATGTGAAACGATGTGAATAAGAATTAGCACTTCAAAGTCTAAGGCCTCGGTTTAAATACCTCAGTGTCTTGTTCATGAGTGAGGGGAGAGTGGTGCAGCGACTTCCAAGTGTAGTGCCGCATCTGCTGCATCAGTTGTGGTGAAGAGAGAACGGAGTGAAAAAGTGAAGCTTTAGATCTCTGTTGCTACTTTAACCTGTGGCTACAAGCTTAGCGTGGTGACTGAAAGAATGACATTGGGGACAGAAGCGATGTAAATCAGTTTTCTCCAAAGGGTGGCTGAGCTTGATCCTTAAAGGTGGGGTCAGAAGGGGATGTTGAGCTGATACTCCTCCACACTGAAAGGAGTGACTTAAAGTTCGAGCACCTAATAAGGATGCTTCCTGGACGCTTCCAGATAAGTGTTCGGGGGGTGTCCAACCTGGAGAAGTCTTAAAGTGACCATAATTCCCTTACTGTTTAGAAAGACGATATTTACAGGGTATTCGCTGCATCGTGGTAACATAAAACATTCACCGTGTATCACTGTCTGAACACAGACAGAAAAATCCACCTAGATTTTGCCCTGTGTGCGGAGCAAATTGTGAGAAAATTTGAATGGTTCATGAAAGATGGATTATTTTGTAATTTTACAGATTACAAAATAAGTCCAGGCAGCCTGTATGATATTTGGGGGATCAAATGGTTAAGGTGGAAATGGGAGTAAATATCAAGCCTTTGTCTACAAGCTCCTCTGAATTTGGAAGTTATTATTTATACTAAAAACAAGAACACCATTTTCATTATTTCTAATTGTAATTTTCTTATGCTTGTCTGGAACAGGGCTTTCTTTTAAATGAGACATTGAGTTTCAGTGATATTATCTGTATAAATAAAGGTTTTACAAACTTGTCTTAAAGCAACAAAACTGCTTCTTTTTTCTCCTTTGGTTAGGAAGAATACCTGCTTGGCCTAAGTCTGTTATTATCATCATCATTCTGATTTAATAAAGACCACTAAAAAACCCAAACACCTATAAGTGATAGGGCAGTATGGACCAGTGACTATACTGGGTGGGTTCCAGAGTTGCAGCTTGTATGTGCTGCGTGAGTGTTGGTTTCTCACGGACTGACAGGAATGAGCTCTGACAGCTGCCGTGTGTCTCTCCTTCAGGTGCCACCAGTGTGCCAGTGTATGTGCCGTGTGTCACCATGTGGTGAAGGGACTGTTCGTGTGGTGTCAGGGCTGCAGCCACGGTGGACATCTGGAGCACATGATGAACTGGCTCAAAAGCAGCGCTCACTGCCCTGCCGGCTGCGGTCACCTGTGCGAGTACACCTGAGCTTCTCACAACTACTGTTAACACAGCTGGTCCTCTGTGGGAGTGCGGGAAAACACACACACAAACAGTCAGACAAGATGTCTTTATCCTTCTACGTGGACCTGGAGTGTTTGCTCACCAGGAAAAAGGAGGACGGCTTTGAAGTGAGCTTAGACCAGAAAGAATCAGAGGTTTACATGTGTCTCCTGGACGGCTACGCAAGAACAAATACAATCACGTGTTCGCAAATGACGTTTGATTCTGTTTGTATGAGCAGAAGTTTATATACATGGATGCTGCTTTTTACAGTTTTTAACCCCAAATACTGCACAGGAAGAATTGTTTGCTCTTCTTCCTCTTTGTACATAATGTTTATTTTGAAGTACTGTAGATATTGGTGCATTAATTTATACTGGAGAGGAAACCTCTCTGTTCTAGCAGTATGTTAAAGCAATAAATACTAAATTGACACTTTGATTCTTAAGTGCTCATTATATAGAACATCCAATCTCAACGAGTCGGCCTGAAGAAGCTCACATTCGAGGTAACCTGACCACACATTACTCCCATGGGGCCAGAAATCCCAACTGGCTGCCTGCCAGCATGTCTAGTCGCTAGTCCAGCAGCTAAACACACAGTGCGCTGGAGTGCATGATGTAGTTTGTGCCTCACATTTGGTGAGATTGAAAACGGATCAGAGTTGGAGCCAGCAGAGAGACTGCTTCTGCACTGATGAACCTCAACAAAACTGCTTTTTCTTGGGTCAGTTTTAAAGGTTTAGCCCGAAGGCAGCTGTTTGCTCATGTACATCTCAGAGATTTTTATCAGCCCAGTCCTAAGTAACTGTACATCATTTTGGACACCCCTGTGACTTCAGGTGTTATAGATGATAGTCCTCCGCTCACTGATCTTGTCTACTGTACATTTAATAAACAAACTAGTGATGTAGGGAGCCTCACACATTAGTGTTTAAACAGGGAATACTACATAATTTCAGATCAGACATAGACATACCTGAACGTCATCTTTTTCTACACTTAAAGTATAGTTTTACCTCAGCTAAGATGCACATTTTAATAGTGACGTAGATACTCGACTGGCAGTTCTGCCAAAAAAAAAAATTAAGACTGGGACTTTAGCCAGGTGTTTAAAGTTTGCTTATGTCACATTTTTCCATCTGAAGTAACAGGAGCTGTCCTGCTGTGAGAGGAGAGCAGTGATGTGTGAAGGCTGTGCTTATTGAAAAACCTGCAGGCTAAAAATCGGCCAACATCCACAATGTGCCAGAATTGCAGCTAAGCAGTAAGTGTCACTATTCCTGAACTAGCGCCAAGGCCTCAGGCACAGTAGTGGATTTTCAGATGAGACATTTGATAATCAGACGGGTATTCCTTGACCCTGAGGCGCAGCCTGTGCAGAAGCGCCCTGTAGTGTTGACAGATTAAATATTGACCACACAAATAGACTCGTTTTAACCACCACATAAATGTCATTTTAGCACCAAATCTTATACTTATAAATCATCTCAAGGCACTTTATAGTGTAAGAAAGCCTGGAGTGTGTGAGTCATACATCAAATACAGAAGTGACGAGTGATTTAGGGTTTAAGAGGAAGACTCTGAAGACCTTTGCATACATCCCAGAACACAAACTCCCAACGAGCACCGCAAATCCCAATAAGAGTGTTAGAATGAAATAAAAATTTAATTTGGGCACCTTTACTCCAAATTTACTTTTTTTTTTGCCAAATAATTTATCACATAATTAAAACTGCTGTGGACAAAGTCCTTCAAGTTTGGTTTATGATTACATCCTAAAATATCTGTACAGGTAGGCAGGTTTTAACTGATATTCAAATACAGAAATTCTTTTTAGTTTTGGGGATTTATGAGTCTCCGTAGCTCAGTGTCTACATATGCAGAGTAATAATGCATCGCTGTAACACTGAAGGACCTATAATGCTTTTCCTTGTGTGTGCTATCATACTATTACCACAGGGGGTGCTCACATCTTTCAGTCTTGGGTCTTTCTGTTGATACAAAGACCTGCGTGTGAGTACAGCAGCCTCACGCCTCATGTTTAAACCTTGGATGGTGTCCTCAAAAGTATAGGCTAAAGCGGTCCAGTATATACAAAAATTATTCCAACTCCTGCATAACCAAAATATGCAGTTTGAAACGTGCATAATAGACCCACTTTAATATCTTCTCTGTTCTTTAAAAGGCATTCGGCAGGACATTATTTTCAAAAACATAACAAATGACAAGATTTCATTCAAATAAACTGCAGAGCTCATTTTAAGTTTGATTATTAACGTGGTTTTGTAGTCTAACTCTCCATCTGGTGGTATAAACATCACTTCAACCACATTTCATACTTTTGAGTACAGTTGCGTAGAAATATCACAGTATTACAACCCCTGATCCACGATTTCCTCCATCACCTCTGTCCCCTCCACCACTGCATTTTCACAGCCCATCTACAGCAGTCCACAAACACCAGCACAGGCAAGTCAGGGTCAGGTACCCTTGTGCCTGCTTGTCATTTTCCTGCAGCAGTTGCGCCACCCTTGTTAGCCTCGTCCACATCTGGCGAGCTCTGGCCCATCAGCCAATCCCAGATGATCCGCAGAGAGGCTTCGCTCCCCCGAGCCGCTCTGGCCATGGCGTGGCTGGCCTCATATTTGGCCTTCTCCCATTTCAGTGACATTGTTCAGGGTGGCGAATCACCCTCCGTCAAGTGCTCCAAAAAGGTCCTTTAAAAATATGACAATAGCAAATTATGTTCAGCTATTTCAGATGCTAAAAAGCTCCTCAAATCTTCTGTGCATGCGAGCTTGTGTCACCTGAAAAGCTTAGGGTCGTTCCCAGCTATCTGAGACTTTTTCTGGGGCACTCAGTCGCCTCAGATTCTGAAGCAGCGTTTGCAGACTTCCAGCTGTAATGATGTAACACGCGGGCAACGCCATTATACTTGAGTCACTGCACTAAACCACTTAAAATCACTGAGTATTAAACCTTCTTACCCAGGTCTTCTTCATACAAATCCATCTTCTTCATCAGCTCTTGAATACTGGAACGCGTCGCTCCCTCCCCAGCTACAAAAAAGAAATTAAAAAAGTCACCGTTTGTAAATCCAAAAATTAGCACAGTCCACCTCAACTCACCCTTAACACCTGTTCCTTCCCCAGCAGTGGCAGAGCTGCTGATCCCATCTGTGGTCAAACAGGAGATCAGTTCACCGCGGCATGCCCTTTCCTTCCCCAGCATGGCACTCATGTTTTGAGCCAGCCTGTGGTTCTCCACCAACTCAGCATGGACCTTCTTCCATGCCATTTTGTCCTCCATTAGACATCCCTCCATTACTGTGCGCAGCTCCTTCTCCTGAGACACCTGGCTCTGCAGGCTCTCAACCTCCTCACAGCGCTGCGAAGGTGAGAAAAACATATGCAAAAGGTTTTCAGCAAGGTGAGAACAACCCAAGTCACAAATCTCACACTTGCAGTGTTTCATGTTTACCTTGTGTAGCTGAATGGCCATCTCTTGCATCTCAGCCTCGAGCTGGTCGGCGTAAGCCTGTTCCAGAGCATCGCTGGGTGGTCGAGCGTTGCTGTGCCACCTCGCAATGGCTGAAGTCATTTTGCGTTTGGGTCCAAACAGACTGGAGGACAGAACAGAGTTTCAAAACATGAGACCACAAACATGGATCATCTGAAATGAGGGAAGGTTTACAAGATGGTACTGAGACGTGTTATGATGTATGTTTGGAGACGGTGACAATAAGACAAGAGGCCGAGCTGAAGATGCTAAGATTATGATTGGGAATGAGGGTCAGGATTAGAGAGTACATCAAAGGAAAAGGTCAGAGTGAGAGTTTTGGACACAAAGGCTGATATGGTTTGGACATGAGCAGAGGAGCCTGAGTGGATATACTGACAAAGGATGCAAACGACGAAGCTGCCAGGCAGGAGGAAAAAATAAACAGAAGGCAGAAGATGATGTTAGGGATAGGGTGAGACAGAGGCAGATGGTCCGCTATGGCAACCCCTATAGGGAACAGCACAAAGAGGAAGAAGCAGCAGCATCTTACGTAATCCCTATTTCTTTGAGATCATTTTCTGTCAGGGTGAGAAAGATCCGCAGGTCTATGTCTTGCTCTTCAAGTAACGGAAGATACTTCGAGAAGCCGATTTGCTCCAAGAACTCTGCCAGATCCTACATGAAGATGAGATTTTAGTCCTTGCCAGGAACTCAGGGAAATCTGAATAAACGTACTGAAACCTGAACAAACACAAACATGCCTTTGGGCCAGTGTAGGAAGGCGGAAGACCAGCGCCACAGTTTGATGTCCTGCTGGAGTGAGCTCCATCGCTGTTCCCGTGGCGAGTCTTGCCTTTTGAGTGATGACCCTTATTTACTCTGCGAATGCTGCTCTTTTTACACTGGTCAGAGTCCTGATGGAGAAAGATGCAACTATTTATCACGAGACACTGACGAACACAGTTTGCGTCCAAACTGCAGGCTCTTCTGTTCACCTCGTTACTCTCCACAGAGCCTTCCCAGTTGAGGCCGATCACAGGAGGCAGGCCTTCGCTGCTGCTGCTGCTGCTCCTCATGGTGGGCATGTCATGGTCAAAGAATGGACTGTCATCTTCAGTCATGTTGAGAAAAACACAAACAAAGTTTGCACTCAAGTTTCGTACAAACACAGAAGTTCTCTCAGACCTCCCCCCTCCTGCTGCATCTGAAACAGCTGTCTGACGCTCCAATTATATTCCTTATTCATACAGATGTATCAAACCACAGTTTTTGTTGTGATCTGTATTTTTTCAGGTGACAGCTGAAAAAAAAAAAAAAAAAAAAGACCTAAAACACAAGTTCACATTTCTGGTAGAACTCCCATCAGGTTTGTAAAAAATCAGAGTCTCAGGGGTTATTTTTGGGTTTTGTTTTTTTTTTTTTTTAAATCACCCACACAGACACACCTCTGCTGCTGTTGCTCTGGCCATCCAGTTCATTGATAGGCGAAGTCACATCACGGTAGCAGAGACCCTCGCTCTGTTCCCCAATGCCACGAAACGTCATGTACCCTGGCAGGGCGGCAGGAGGATCTGTGAGGGCAAATGTGACATTAACGACACACAGCTATTATTATAAACGGAAGCATGAATAATGTGCTCTACTTTACAGGGAAAAAATGCTTTCCACCCTCACATTTATAATTTTAATTTTTAACCTTTTTGGTTTCAGCAAGCATTTTGCTGAGTACAGTAATGCAGGAACACATGATCACTTAAAGCTTGCCCTCAGTACTTTAGAAGGATGTCACACCTGCTGTCACTGTTTTTTTTTTGTTTACCAATGTAAATAAACATAATAAGAGTCAGATGAAATATAATGACCTAAAAGACCAATTTTGAAAAGTTGAATGTAAAACATCTACATTGTATCTGCTGTAAGTGCAAGTGACCCCTAGTGGTGAATTCATGTAGCTACAATTTTAAATGTGTATGCGTAAATACCTGTGATAATAAAGAGACTGTAACTCAAAACAAATCACATTAAAGCACAGTAATTTTTAAAAACTAATCTAATTTTTTTCTACCAATCTTAAAAATAACCACCTAGAGCAGATTTACCTGAAATGTAAGGCACTTTAAGACCTTTATTTCTTATACTTTAATTTTAGACTTTCTAAGGACCTGTGGGAACCCTTAGAAACAGCTTTTTTTTCTCTTTTCTTTTAAATGCAATTTAACTTCATAACTAGAACAAATGTGGTGTTTAAAGTGTGGCTCAGCACAGATACAGGTTGAAGACCGGATGTTTTACATGACACTGTACCACACAGTTTGCTGGTGCCTCCTACTCGGAACTTGGCGATGGCCTGAGGCCCATCGTGGATGCTGATGCCTTTAGCTCGGTTTCGGCTGGACCGTATCCTCGGTGGTGCGCTGTCCGAGTCCTCGGAGGAGCTCAGATCTTCAAAGTGTCCTGACAAATCAGAACACACGTACCAACCCCCCCCCACCCAAAAAAAAATCCCCAAAAAACATTAGAAATTAAAAGACAATGAAAGACGTAGTAAAGACAGAAATTTTAGATTTAAACAAGTACCTGGTTTCATTCTTGGAGAACGTGAGTCAATGAGGCTGACAATTTTGGTATAGCCGTACATCATAGCCAGAGCACGCGCTGTCTCACCTTTGGCGTTGCGTTCATCCACTTTAACTTTCTGAAAATTCAAAGGATTACCAAATTGTGAGTGTGCGAGTCATGTCAGTTACATTTTCCAGTGATGTGGCTCCATCTTTTTAGATGTTGAAGAGGTACAGGAGATGTAGATGTGGCAAAAAAAAGGAGAATGACATGGTCTGGCTCATAACCACTTGCACTCACACACGAGTATGTTCCAGCACAGTAACCTACTCACATGATCAAGTAAGTACTGAACAATGATTTCATGCCCAGAAGCAGCAGCCTCCATCAGTGGGGTGAAGCCAGAACCTGGCTCCCTGTGTATGAGGGAAGAGTCATGAAAATCTCAAAAGTGTGAACAGATCGTTATTTTTTTTTTTTGATGGTCTTTTTAGAGCAAATAAAGACACTCACTTGACATTGGCGTCAGCATTATTATCCAGCAGGAACTTGACCATCTGTTGGTGGCCTGTGCTTGTGCAGTGGAACAGAGCGGTCCAGCCTACAGAGTCCTTCAACTCCAAATCGGCCCCTTGCTTTTTGGGTTTTAAAATGGAAAAAAAAGAAGAAGAAAAGAAAAAAAAAAAAAGCTGAATGTTCACAATAAAATTTAAAGCTCAAAAAGAGTGCTGAATCTAAACCCAAGGCCAGATTTACTAAACCGGGCAAAATTACACACGAGCAGTATTGATGATAGGTGTGGTTCGTTTTAGAGCCGATTTTTAAAACACGTCTTCAAAACACAGTCAGTTATTTTCAATATCATGCAGAAAAAACATTGACATTGCTACTCCTCAGCCTCCTGCTTCAAGTGACATCCTTGAGTTATTGCATTCACAAGAAAATTCGACCTCTAACCCTTGACCTTGAGGTTGAGGTCACTGAGATTCAAACTCATCCAAGACAACGCCCTGTCATCCTTTTATGGCTGAGGGGTAAAAATAAAGAGCTTTTACACACTGGCAGTGTAAAATTAGTCCTTTAAAAATATTTTCATCTTTTCGTAATGCAGTCGTTCACACAGACTGTAGTTTCACTGGGCAAATTTGCAAATTAACACATCTGACCAATCAGACCAACTCACTTGGCAACATTCGGAATTTGAATTCTTAATTTCATGTCGTTTTTTTGCAACGTGCTTGATTTGTAGAGGTCTTAAGCCTTTCCCCCCCACCTCCTGAAATAAATATCAGCACAATTAGGAGTAAATTGCATGTCACAAATGTTATCAGATCAGTTTGCACACCTGATTTTATATTTTGCCCGTGACAAAGGAACTTCCAGAAATACATATGGAACAGCATCAGTCACAAAAATCTTATCCCTGTGCTCTCTTTGTAAATTAAAAGACTGATTTACACCAAGTAAATCTGGCCCTATATATAAATTACAATAGCCTGTTTTAGGGGCACCAAGCTTTAAAAATCAGAGGTCCTTTGATATTACAAAATGCAGGCACTTTAACAAGAACCAAGAAAGGTAGACTAAGATGCTCAGTCAGTCCCCATATAATATAATATAATATAATATAATATAATATAATATAATATAATATAAAGATCCAAATGCACTGGAAATGCACAGTGGCAAAAAGAAGCTGCTGTATGTTAGTTTAACCTCTAAGACAAAGGTTACACGTGGGTAGGCTGTGAGAACACATAACCCCCTGTGGCCTGACATACCCTTCAGAGAAGTGATGCTCACAGACTAAAAGACCGCATGCAAGTGTGCCTTGTGTATTATTTGCCGTTTTAACTTGTCATTATAACTGCTGGGGTTTATTTTGCATCGTTTTTGGATGGATCTACCCTTAAGTTACAGTCCATCTGCTTCTCATCTCATTCTTGGAGCTTATCTTAACTTATTTGCTTTCTGTCTCTTTTCAAACTCTTTTTGTCATTCTGATGTTTTATCATCACAAATCTCTGTGCCATTGTTTTGTCTCCTTACCACCCCCCCACCCCATTCAGGGTGATTCTGTACCTGAAGCAGAAAGTATGCGATACTTTCGTTCCCACAGCTTGCGGCCAACATGAGGGGTGTGAGTCCTTTGGCGGTGGTGGAATTTACATTCACACGGGCCTCCAGCAGCAAATTTGCAATGTTGTCGTGACCAATGTAGGACGCATACATAAGTGGGGTCCATCCTCCAATGTTCTTGCCATCCAGGTCCACTTCACGCCTGAAAGCACACACAGTTATGTGAATAAGCTGTGGAATATATTAGCCCGTGTGGAAATATTGGTATTAAGAGGCCCTCACTTTTTAATGCACTCAGCCACCACGTCGTACTGGCCGATGGAGCAGGCGGTGTGAAGGTCCAGAGGGACATCCAGCTCCTCAGCTCGCAGCAGGGAGTCACCCAGCCACAGGGAGAGGCTGGCACCCAGCTGTTCTGACTCACTGGCGTCATCGCTTAACTCGGACATCTTCACTCTTTTCTCCTGGGAAACAGAGACACCATAAACTGCTCTAAACAAACCGCAACGCCCTGGTTTCACACTTTAAAACCAGGGGCTTACGAGCCTGCGAGCAGCCCTAAATGCTGTAGCTTCAGATGATGGAAAACATAAACAATGCTGACTTATACAGGCTCACGAATAGCGGCTACTTTAAAGCTAACGGTAATTTCACAGGGCTCACTCCTCTGGCTAATTTAGCTTAGCGAGGTGAGCGTCTAAACTTTTGGTCTCAATAATAAAACCAACACAGTGAGCTAAACTAATTAAATGCACAGAAGAAAACAGAAGCAAAAGAGTATTTCAGAGTGCAGAAAAACATAACGAGTTCAAACTTACAGTCAGCAGGTAGTTTGTTCTCTCAGCAGCCGAAACTTTTCTAAATGTGTGTCACACTCTAATGTGTCCGCGCTGAGCCTTGCACCACCCTATCCTGTCTGAGAGACACTTTAAAGGGAAAATATGAGGAATCACGCTTCCTTAAACGGGAAATAAACACAGGAATGTATGTTCTTTACACAAACTCTTGATTCATGTTTGCTCTCAAGGTCAACTTCTCTGTTATACACACACAGGCTCAATTTAAAAGTCTATGAACCATTTACAACACATCCAGTGTTATTGTCTGTTTTATTTGTGTGTACATTTTCATTCATCGTAATTTTTTTTGTTTGTTTTTTTTTAAATAGTATTGTATTTTAGAGACAGTTCAACTGTGTTTGTGAGTGTAGCTTTGTAAAAACGTCACAAAAAGGGACGATTTAAGAATCAACCTTAACTCAGTCATTAACAATGACATTTTAATATTTGTATAAAGTGAAGATTGAACATAAAGTGAGATTAGTGACTAAACTTTCACAATATCTATGATTAAATCAGAGCTAACTCAACTAGTTTCCATTTTAATAAAAAGCGGTACATACAGTCACATGAAAAGGAAGGTTTTCAGTTTGCTGTAGCAATAATGCTATAATCTTCCCCAGGAGAGGACATTAATCCCAAGAAACAATTAATGCTCAAGTTGTTGCTCCTAAAAGTGGTTCTACAAGTTACTGAATCATGAGGTGCATTTTGTTTGTCACATGAATGTATAAAGCCTTTGTGGAATATATGTTAGATATATGTTAGCCTTAGTGAAGAAGAAAAAAAAATCTATTTATCGATTTGGATTATTAACTGTAAACTGTACAATTTTACTTAGAAATGTTTATTTCATTTTATCATTGCATTTAATGAAGCCACTACAAGCAAAAATACCAATTTTTTTTATTTTATTTAGCAATATAGCAATATAAAACAAAAAACCTCAAATGCTTTGAACCATTTTTTCTGAATTAACATGATTATTATCTTAGAAGTCCAACAAAAACATATTTGTCTGTTTTTCTAAATATACAAGATATTTTGGCACCTCAGGTGTAATCGACAGCAATCCAGTATTTATGGTAAGATGGTTCGAGGCGCCATGCTGTCAGCCTGAATGGACTTGAATACGTTTCTCTTGAGATTTGAGCAATCACATTAATTCAGTGAATGCATCACGCTTTGTAAAAATGTATTAGTTAAAGGTTTTGTCTGTAAACACAGAGATTTTGACGTCTTCTCTCCTCATATCTTCAGCGTTCACCAGAAGGTTGTCCACAGATCTCTGACGGTGCCGTTCTGCCAGCCTACGTAGCACTTTATCTCCAGCATGCTGCATTGTGAAGGATTTGGCATCAGGACAGACAAGTCAGAGAAAGTTGAAGTGAAACTCCTCCTTCGATGGGATAAGAACAAAAACCGGCGTCGCCTCTTGAGTCTGCGGCGTCAGCTCTGCACAGTGAGCTTCAGTGCGCCGCAGCTTCTCCTCAGCGAGTGATGTCTGAGTTTTGTCTTCAGCTCTCCGGTGGAAAACAGACTTCTTTGGGGACTCTGACACAAGTTTGACCTGGGCTGATGCGATTTCTGTCGGGGCACGGAGAAACCCATTAGCCGGTGGCAGTTTTTAACCATTTTAATGAATTCGCTGGTACAAAATTCACTCACCGCTCTGAATTAGTTTGAATTGCTTGGTCTTCTCCTCTTCCATCTTCTTTCTGTAATCTCCAGTTACAGCTCTCATCACCTGCCTCTTCTTGGGCAGAGGAGCTTTGGAGCTGCGCAGAGTCTTTAGGGCACGCGAGGCCTCGTCCTCTGAAGGGAGAACATATTCAATAGGTGACACCATGCTTAGAAGTTTACTTTTTTGTATGACCTTGTTTAGATCATAGCTTAAACATTAAAGAATCCTGAATATCAGTTTAATCTAGGCTACGTTCACACTTGGATTCACTGTATGTCCCTTCCAACCACATCATAGTACTACTGAGGTACAAATCTCACTAACTCTGCTTCGGTGTGCCCTTCTGACACTTCAGGCCCAGCTCCAGCTGCTCGATGCACCAGTCCAGCTCCCTTTTCAGCTGCTCTTCTTGACCCTAAAACACATTCAGACATAAAATCAACCAATCAAACTGCTCACCTCAAACACACTGTAATTACTTTAAAGCACTGCACACTGACCAGCTCCTCTGCAGCACCTTCACTCTCTTCAGCTGGCTTCTGCAGTGGCTCAATACTCGAGGAGTTTTTCTTCCCTGACTTCTTTTTCTTCTTCTTTGTTTTTGATTGCTCAGATTGTTCAGGTGGAGACTCAACCTCCTGCGAAAGGGGAGGCTTCTCCTCTGGGACGCACTGTTGGTCACCTTGAGAAGTATTTGGAGTGTCTGTTGTGTCCATGTCTTCTGCAGGAGGGATTTGAAAGTTGAAGGCAAAAGCAGAGCCCTGTTCAGTGAAGGAAATCTGGCTTGTTGGCTCAGTCCTGTCCGATGCAGGTGCTTTCTCTGAAGCTGCTGGAGAACTGTCAGGGAAGAAGTTAAACCTGAAGACGTTATTGCTGCGAGACCAGAGGGGCTCCTCGGCTGCAGCAGGTGTGGAGCTGTTCGATTCAGCTTTGATATCTGTTGAATGAAAACAAAGGACACAAAAACATTCGTTTATCTCACTTTTGAGAGCAACACTTTAACCCTGAGAAATGATAACACCGACATAAAACCCTCATGTGCGTTTCAGTTGCTTTTAAGAGTTCACTTAAAAGATTTAAAACCCACGTTCAGTCCAGTAATAACAGGTCGAACACATGCATGTGTGTTATTTCGTTATAATATACCGAAGTACAACAGCCTCTGGTCGGCCATGCTGAGTCTTCAGAGCTGTAGTTTTTAGGTCGAAACGCGATTTTCCGTTTTTTTTTAACTCGATGCAAACATATTCAGTGAACCCCGCATACGTTTGTAAACATTTTTTAAATTTCTTTAGCTCTTCGGTCTCTTTAAAAACATGTCCAGTCCCCAAACCAGACACTTACCACCGGTGTTACTCAAGAAGAGGTCCGTGTACTTACACTTCCTCAACGCCCGCTTCGTTCCGCGCATGTTCTGTGCTCTCGCGCTTATTTGTCTATTTATTTTATTTTATTTTATTTTATTTAACATTTTCATGGAAAAATCCTTAAAATAAGACCACTGTCTATTTATGTAAGCTTTTAAAACCACTTTCACCTGAGATAACAAAAAGGCTTATTTTATATATATATATAATTAAATAAGTAAATAAATAGTGTACAATCATATCACTGTGCTGATAGGGCTTTATTCGAGTGCGTCATTATTAGATTATTTCAAATACAAATAACCGAGCCTTTTTCGTTTATGATGGTGATGAGGATAACTTGGTCCGCTCCCGCTTCTCCGTTTTTTTTTTTCACAGCAGGCACAAAGAGTTGGAGGAAATGTGTCCTAGGTCTGTTGGACGAGTTTCTGTCAGCTCCAGAATTATGTATCACACTAAAGCTTCCCATTTATATATAAAGAGGTTTATGTATGGAGCGTGTATGTCGATTTGTGAGGTGCACATATGCTTTTTCAGCACGTCTTCTGTGTACTTCATTTGCCTTTTCACATAGTGCAGGCTATAACAAAAGTATGGCAGCATTGTTCCCGCTTGTCTTAATTAGTTAAAAGACGGGGGCGTTCAGTGACCACCATATTTCCAGAAAGGAATTCCCAGGTTCTATGATTACACAGACAAAATTATATGTTTAACTGTGTGGAGTAAGAGAGAAAAGCTGTGGGTGAATAATTAAAATCAACCTAACGACATGCTTCTTTTTAAAATAAGGTACATCTGACGATCCGCTCTAACTTCACACGCAGAGGCAGACAGCCTCCTTTTTCCTGAACTAATCATATTCCGTTAGGGATTTCCGTTTGGACCAATTGGATACGTTCAGGGGAGGGCTTTGAGCGCTGCTCCGCTTAATCTATAAATACCACCTCCTCAGCCCTCGGGCCAACATAGAGAAGTGACTAACAAGGAGGAGGCATTGAATTTCCCTGAACAACGAAAGTAATCCGAGGTATGGCTGTTATGTTTGTTTATTGGTTTTATTTAAAATCATCAGTATGTGAATTACATATATTATCTATTTGAATTTTGGTGTTGATGAGAGGCTTTGAAAAACGGTGGGACTATCGTTAATCGAAAAACTGACAACAAAACGGCGCGCTTTGTAGCTAAGAGCTAGCTGATGGCTTAAATTTAGCCGATTTGACTGCTCTTAAGGTATGACTACATAATTAGAAACTAATCTTAATGTTCACTTATACGACTGAGTGCCAAGTTGTTTTTGGTGACATTAAATGGTTAACTGTATTGTAAATGTTCGCGGTAACTAGCTGGCGCCATTTTGCAACCGTCCATGCTAGCTTTAAAAATGCTCGACAGGCAAGCAAAGAAACGTGTGTGTCTCCTTTAGCTTAATGGTGGCGGTGCTTAGAGGTTTGTGTACGATATTTGAATAAAACCATAAAAGTGGTAACTGTAACTTGTCGTCACTGATAACGGTAACACCACCGATGAATGAGGCGTTGGCACCCTTTATGGTAGTTTATTTTCACTGTAAACAGAAGTAAAAGGTAGGACGGTTGTTTCGCCACCTTTTTTTTTTTTTTTTTAAACGACGTGAGTCATGTGTCATAGGTAGAGCCGCATAAAGGAAACAGACTCTCGGTCGGTGATTTATAACGTAAATAACGGGGTTTTGTTAAGTTTTTTAATTCACTTTGTTTAAATATCCACGTTTATTTGTTTTTCAGACTTGCAGGTGAGAAATGGCTCGTACAAAGCAGACCGCTCGTAAATCCACAGGAGGAAAGGCTCCTAGGAAGCAGCTGGCCACTAAAGCAGCCAGGAAAAGCGCGCCATCTACTGGTGGAGTGAAGAAACCCCACAGATACAGGTACAACAATCATACCTCTGTATTGCTGTTATAGGCATAAGTGGTTACACTGGCTGTGGAAACTAACTTTACTTTTGTTTTCTAAAACTGTGTAGTTGCTACAATGTTTTTGTTTCTGGGCACTAATTCAGAATATGGCTTGTTTCATAGGCCCGGTACTGTTGCTCTGCGTGAGATCCGTCGGTACCAGAAGTCCACTGAGCTGCTCATCAGGAAGCTGCCTTTCCAGCGTCTGGTCAGGGAAATCGCTCAAGACTTCAAGACGGATCTTCGTTTCCAGAGTGCAGCCATTGGTGCTCTCCAGGTCAGAAAATGCATCTGTTTTAAAATATGAACAACAAGTTCAAGTTCTAATTTGTTCTAGTATTTAATGTTTTCTTTTCTCTTTCTTATAGGAAGCCAGCGAGGCCTACTTGGTCGGCCTGTTTGAGGACACCAACCTGTGTGCCATTCACGCAAAGAGGGTCACCATCATGCCCAAGGACATTCAGCTGGCCAGGCGAATTAGAGGGGAGAGAGCATAAATGCTTTTGGATTTTTATCTTTTTATTGGGTTGGGGGTGGGTGGGGGACTGACTGGGGTTTCTTTTGTAAATCTTGAACTATTTACCAGCATGTGTGCCACCTTAAGTGATTTGTAGTTTGAGGCATGTTTTTTGTATTTCCATTTCACACACTCTTCCTTCAGCTGTCCTGTTTGCTGTAGAGTAGTGCTTGATATCTGTAACTCCTAAAGCAGAATATCTCACTTCCTTCCTCAGGTCTGCAAATGTATTTTAGGGTCTATCTTTTTAATCCTGTGTGTGCATGTCATAGGATTTCTCATTGTGCTGTAAATAAACTTTCTGCTACCTCACCCTGACTCAAGTTTACTGCAGACAACCTTGGGTACAAGTACAAATTTAAGAGACCCATTGGCTCAATGCCAGGGCTTCTTTGCACTATAACTTTGATCTAACAAGTTGGATGTTCATCAAGTGATCATGTGCACTCTGAAACAGTGATTCAGAACAGACTGGCAAATGCCTTGTTCAAGTTTATTGACATTGTAAGCCATGACTGGCTAAAAGGAGTATTTCCCAATTAATGTTAGCTCTTAAACTTAAGACGTACAGCATCATGTAAAAACCTGCATCACAAGTAAATAAAGCCAAATGTGAACAGTATTTTGAAACTGGATACAGTGTGCAAATGTGAAATAGAAAAGCCTGCAACAGCTGTAGAGTAAACCAGACCCTGATGAAAAAAGTTAAACTAGACTCCAGGATGAATGAGTTTAACTGAGGCCTCTTAGTCCAGGTTTGAACTAATAACCTGTAGTTATTGGAATATTTGACATTCATGTATCAATGGACAGCCTTATTTCCACACAAAGCATTGACTTTGTGTTCCAGGTCCACACAGTACAATTCACAATAAATACAACCTGATACAACATGTCCACATATTCCAATAAGCGCCTTTATTTTTTAGTTGTATCCTCTTCATTTGAAAGCACGCTGGGTACATGCTCATGCAGCTGCTTCTCCAAAGCTGCGTCAATGTCTGTCTCATCCCTGAAAGCGCACCACAACAGGAAGGCGGTGGCAAGCAGGCTGATGGGCACAACTTTCCACATAGGACGCTCGTACTGGCTCCCCATTGAGCGGTCGACTCTCCAGGTCCTGTGGCTGGCTTTGCTGGTTGAGAACTTAATGGGCTCGCTCTTCACCTCCTCATCATCAGCAGATTGTTTGGACTTGCACGACAGCTGAGAGCTCAGAGCTAGAGACCGCACACTGTGGAGTCTTCCAGCAAGAAAAACAGAGAAGATAAGAAATTAGTTTAGGTTGAAAGGCTTAGTGGTTTGAAAGTACACTTGGTGCACTTAAATGCTACTTCACCTTAGATAGTATACTACAATATTTACTTGGATATTAATACTTGTGGACTTCTGCTTAAGATTAGAAGTGAAATATATTTATGAAACTGAAAACACTTTTTTAAAACTGCTGTTTTGTTTTTAAGAAGCTGAAACATCCACAGCTGGAGATTATAGTCCTTAATGGGCACTAAAAATATTAATCCGATCGTCATTTTCATTTATACACTGGATTTATGATACATTTCCAGAGGTCAAATATCCATAGACGCACATAATATGCAATAGATGTTTTATAGAAACTGATGTTCAAGATCAACCATACAGATGATGATAGGTTCAGGAGGTAGATAGCTCCTTACATAATAAATAAATAAAGCAGTAGAAAAAAACATTTCTGAATTATTCCAATGCAAAAAATGAGTTTATGTATAACATTTTACCTTTGAATTAGCCTTTAAAAAACTTGAGGAGTGTGTCCATCTGTAAATTGTTGCTCAAAACACAGTGATGATGCCACCTAGAGACAATTCCTGAGGCTGCTCTATTGAAAATGATAAATCTAACCTCTGACACAACGGCAACACACGGACGGTGACTGTACTTTAGTTAGTCATACGTCC